CACTCAGCAAAAATACCTAACATATTCTGAAGATCCCAACAGTCCGAGAGACTTTTAATAATTTTGTAGATTTTCGTATCGTCTGCATAGAAAACGTGGCATCCTAATAGTATCAGAAAGGCGACGTCGTTTAAAAAGATCGAAAACAGTAGCGGTCCTAGGTTACTGCCTTGCGGAACTCCTGAGTTGTTTGAGAAAACATCCGATTCCGACGCGATCATCCGATCTTAATCCGTACATAGCGATTCATCAAGCAAGATCTGAACCAATCCACAACCTGAACCAATCCACAGCCTTTGACGAGAAGCCAAGTGTCTCCAATTTGGCAAGCAAGATATTATGGTTCACCGTGTCAAATGCAGCTTTTAGATCCATATACGCAACATCGACTTGCCATCCTGAATCCATGCATCGCAAACAGTTAGAAGTAAACTGCACCAGGTTCGTGAACACGGAGCGCTTCGGGTAAAAGCCGTGTTCTGTATCGATATGATATTTGCAACACGCGAACAGAGCATCATTTATGATAATCTCGAACAGTTTTGAGCATGCACACAGAGAGGTGATTCCACGATAATTTGCGACATTCCGTTTACCTCTTTTTTTGTAGACTGGGAACAGATAAGAAAGTTTCCAGCGGCAGGGGAACTCACATTGCTGTGCCGAAAGATTGAATAGCCTCGAAAGTGGAAGGCAGAGATTGGCTACACAACGTTTTAGAACTGATTACGAAATGCCGTCAGGTCTGGCGGCGAATGAGAGCTTCAGTTTGCGTGTTGCGGCTATTACCATGACTTCTGAAATGCGTGGAATATCGAAATTAACACATCACGTGGCATCCCAGCAGTATCATCCAGCACTTGTGCTGGCGAAGCGAAGAAATCGTGGAACACTTGCCTGAGATGACAAGCAAACAAGTTGCATTTTCCTTTTTCGCTATTAGCAGAGTCATTCCCGAGAAACATGGAACAATTCAATCCGGATTCCTTCCGTTTAGAATTGATAAACGACCAATAAAGGCCGGCGCACAATAAATACGTTTTCGGGTTTTTTGACAGATGATGCATGGGCTAACTGTCAAAAAACCTGAAAACGTATCTATTGTGCGCCGGCCTTAACTTTTTGGATTCGTGCGACGGTTCGCTTCCGTGCGTCTCACGTGTCGATTATAGAGAAAACGATTGTAATTTCGATAGCTACGAATCGCAAAATTGAACAGTCGTTTGTAGTACGGCGAGCGAGAGTTACAATATTTTCGGAGGGCAGCAGAGCGTTGACGTTTTAGCACACCTAGGCGTGGGTTAGACCATGGAGGCTTTTGCGGGGGTCGTCGTGTTGGGACAATGCGGAAAATAGCATCTTCCAGTGCAGCACTGAAAAATTCACAGCATCGTTAACGCTAGCGGCTGTTTCGATAAATTGCCAATCAATTTCCGCAAGCGCATTGTTCAATGCAACATAATCAGCTTGGCGAAAGTCCAAAGAGTAGCACTCAGATGACGGCGTAAAAACAATCGGCGAAGGTAAACTAAATGACACGACGAGAGCGTGATGATCGGCATCTAGATCAATCAGTCGCTCGACCGGCAAGGAAACAGAAGTGCCGGGTAATGCGGAATCATTTGCCAGGACAAGATCTAACAAACACCCATTTTGGTTTGGAAAAGTATTCGCGTGTGTGAAACCGTAAAAGTTAAAACCGTCCAAAATAGCACACCAAGCAACCGGCATATGCGAATGCAGTGGATCAATTAATGGTGTGCCACTGTCTGTAAAGCGCCACTGCAAACCAGCTTGATTATAGTCGCCAAATACGAAAGTGGGAGAGCAGGAACTTAATTGAGAAGAAATATTGCCTAACGATTCTACATGCTCACGGATGATCGTGCAGTCGTTTTTGCGGTCGGGGGCAGGTAGATTGCGCCTACACTAAGCTTGCTTTGTGGAAGTGCTACGACAATCCACAGCTATTCCAGTTGACAAGAAATTGATGACGTACTTACGTAGCTGGCGCGATTTTTGACTGTTTAGGGGAGACCGGTCAGTTCTGAAGACGGAATAGAGTAACCGGAAAAGTTGCGATGAGTCAGCACAATTAAATCATATTCGGCCTCTCCAACAACCAGGAAAAACGAGTCGATTTTAGTCCTCAGCCCACGCACGTTTTGGTAGTAGATCCTGAGACCATTCGAGGAGCAATCACGAGAGCTGGAAATCGAAAGGACATCAGGTACCGAAAGATCATACTCGTCTGAGGTTGCAGGCCGGAAGCCCCCGATACCATCACCGACCACAGGACCGGGACGATGAAGATGGCGGATGTTAACAGCAAGCGCGACTGGGTCGGGAAGTTCGGAAGCTTCCTTAGTGCCTGTTTTAGGGTGTCCCGGATCCGAGAAAGAGCAGGTGGCGGCATAAACCTGCTGCAGAACTGGAAACACAGCTAGAAGTTGAAGCGGTATCAGGCAGAGGAGAGGCTGAATCGTCTGTATACTTGCCAGTAATAGCTGGTTGGAAGACCCCCGACCTACATCTACACTCAGGGCCAAGACGACTATGCTGAGCGCTGGCTGGAATAAGCGCGACTGAGGCAGATAAAATCGGGGGCTTCCACAGTGCTGTCCACGATGCGTCTTGGTGGTGAGGGTGGTGGTCTAGAAGCAGTAGAGGTAGCAGCATCTTGGAGATCGTGGAAACATCGTGAATAGCGGGTTTGAAGATCCCATCTCCAATCCCACACACAAGGCCAGGACGACTGGTGAACGAAGGCGGGAAAAGCTCGACTGTGGTGGCGAGATTAGGGGCTTCCATGGAGTTAACATCTTTGCGTCCCAGAGTTATGCTGGTAAGTGAAGAATCATGGTTGATCATTGTAGCGCTGAAACCGGTGAACGAGTCAGGAATTGATCTGGTCATAAGAAGATCGGACCTGCCTACTGTGTACGGTTGGAGAACTACGTCTCCAAGCTCACATACAGGGCCGGAACGACTGATGAACGACGGCTGCAGAAGCACGACTGTGGTGAGAGGATCGGTGGCTTCCAACATCACTGGTTCAATGGTTAAATAAATGTTTGTGCATCAAAATTCGCTGGTCTTGAAACTACGGGGCCAGTAAACTTGTTTTTAAATACTTTATTAATGTGATTTTTAGCCGATGGCTAGTTTATCTCAGAGGGCTAGCAAACCCATCTAATTCACTTATAAGACTATCTTCAAGGATTCAAGTAAAACTGGCCCCGATAGGTTAGTATTGGAAATGTTGCCATATTCCATAGATTCTGAAGTATGACTGACAAAAGATCGAACGAGCTAAATTCGGATTCCTAATAAGAAATTATTGCTCATTTTCACTCACTGGATTATCAATGTGAGCTGTGTTTCCCTGAGCTGATACAAGAAGATGCTGATGTAGTCCGCAATCCTTTTTCTTCCTCAATGGATGTGAAAGTCTTGATGAAAAACATGATGAATATTTGGACCTGAGAAATGATTCCTCATCTCGTGATTTATTCCTTGAAAAAGATTTGAATCAGTGGTTCTAGTCATGTCGTATCCCAAAGTCTCCTAGCAGACATTGAAGAACCTTTTTTTATCCTCTGTTCGGGACCTAACACTAAATTGATCTATTGTAGTATATCCCGTGTCCTTAGTATAGTGCATGTCGTATTACTGCATCACTATTGAGAAATGATGAAGTATTCGATTTTTTTTACAGTTGCCACTCTTGCATTTATCACAAGGATCCGACTCTAATTGAAAGGATCCGACTCTAATTGAAAGGTCTTAGCAACAAAATTAAGGTATGACACCGATAATGACCATGCATCAAAACCCTAGTCTTAACCACTTCAAACTAGGGAACAACGAATAGAAGATTAGGAATCACATAGATGAAGACAACTAACTCATTTTTTCCTTGTTTCAAGATCATCCTCGGTAGACAAAGCCGAGTCTTGTCACTATCAACAAGGCATAAAAAGTAACAAGGACTAAGATGTGTGCCTTGGATTACTGAAAAATCCTGTTCCCCTAGTTTGAAGTAGTTAGGACTAGGAATCGGTGGTAGATCTTACATCCCGTAACGTACCACGAAAAGGTGATCTACCCACGTTACGGGGCTTGAAGATCCTTGTCGCATTTGCATCTTCGTTCGTATGAACGAGAGCGGATTTTCAACTCTTCTCCACATTAAAACCACGACAAGAAACAGATTGAACTTTGACGAAGATATGAGATTGGCATGAGCACAAACGCAGTATCGTAACTAGATTTGAGATCTACAACAATCGCACCGAACGAGTTGTTGGATGTTGTTAACATAGTATTTTGAAATAAAACGAATAACTAACAGATTCTAATGAATGGTTTTCATTAACTTCAGCGTAATTTATGCAAGGTACTTTTCAGGGGGCCGCGGAACACCCAATTGTTTACAAAGGGGGTCGCGGAGCTGAAAAGGTTGGGAACCACTGTTCTAGATGATTGGTAACTTTACCCCCATCCCATCATGATGGCCTCTCGGAAACCCGGATCCACTTGGCCAATCTGTTCTAATTTTCAGTAGACCATAATTTAGAACTTTTTTCTTCTCACTGTGAAAATTTCAACCTACAAAATTATACCCATGCAAACATTGCTATTCGTATGCCGGTTCGTAAAAATAAAAACCGCACAAAGCGCGTTGGGCCCTCCCCAGAAATAAGACAGGTGGTGCAGTTCTTCTAAGAAGGTTCTACATTTTATAAAAGAAGAAAATTGACTAACTACAGCGCGACCTAGAGCCGTGAACGTGAAAGTGGCTCCATCCCCCATACATCTTGTCGATTTTTCCCATTTCCGTGAACCAAATGATTTCAAATTTTGGCAGGTTGTTTCTGACCCCTCAAACTACCATACCAGAAGGGAGCGTTTGAAATTCCAGACTTTGACTTTTCCCATATAACGCTGAAACACGTGTGTACATTTACATAACATTTGTTAACAATGTTGAATGAAAGCTCAACGTAGATTTTTAAATATTTTTTTTCAGGTTATTAAACCGTTTCTACACAATTCTTCTAGAAGCAAGCGAAACGTCCAAAAGAAACGCAAGAACAAATCAGAAAATCGGAACCCATTAATTGATTTGCCGGTTGATCATCATAAAAGTTGCCAAATTAAAACGCTTTATGTGAGTTTTAAGGATTTAAACTGGCAGGTTAGTAGTGAACTTTACACTCATAAATACAATATGTATATCGCATGGATATAAGCCGAGAAATTTAGGGAAGATCCATTAATGACCTTAGTGTGATCATCCTTATAGAAAAATATGCCACAAGGGGGGGGGGGGGGGGAGAGAACAGTTGGTGCTTCATGAAACGTAAACAAACGTTAAACGTTTGTTTACGTTTGATAAAGCACCGACTTTGGTCCCCTCCCTATTGTACCGTAGTTTTATACCCTAAAATGTAATTCATTTAAGGATCTTCCCTAATGACAAAGATAACACAAACTTATGGGCAGGCACCTACTGGCGGCAGTATGGCATCACCTATACGGTATGCCAAAACATCGAGTCGATGCCAGCTTCACACCACACCACATCAACCAAATGTTTCAAAGTGTGTGATGTTGCCTTAGGGGCTGTTCATTAACTACGTAGACAGGTTTTTGGGATTCTTGATCCCCCTCCCCCTGCGTAGACAATTGTCTATACAATTTTTTTTAGATTTGTATGGGCCGTGGATAATTGACACCCCCCCCCCCACCCAAACTGTCTACATAGTTTATGAACAGCCCCTTATCGGCAAGGCCTAAGGCCACACGGTAAGAAAAAAGTACCCAAAAGTAAGTTCTTTTCACTTATCTCGTAACTATATTGCAGGAACCCAAAAGTAGGTAAATAGGATCAAAGTAGTTTTCATATACTTGTGTGCAATTCTTATGAAATTTTCCACTCGCTTTCTACCCAAAAGTAAGTTAGCTGTACCCAAAAGTAGATTACTACTCTTTTAGGTGCTCTTGCTCCTTCGTTTTTGACAACATAAGAGAAAAGGAGACAAACTAGGCAGAAGTAGGTACTTTTTTCTTACCGTGCAGGTGCTGTTGTAATGCAGGTATAGTATCTGCTATAGCACTTTAAAACGCCACACGCCACACAACTTTGACATGATGTTTTGACAAGTTTAAAAAAAATTGCATGAAAATGAAGTTTAATTAATTTGGTGTCTTCAAAGAAGATTTTAGTTTAAAAAAAATCGCATCTGATGAAGAGGTCTTTCATAAATTATACTCATTGTGATGCACTTGAAAATTCTAACGTTTTGACTAACGATTGCATGAACTTGGCTATACACATAAATTTGAAAGCATATAATTTTCATTGAGCTCCCTTAAAATCAATGTTTCGGCTTTAAATGTTTACTTTACAAAAACACACAACTTTTTGGAAGACAGCAACACGCTATACAGTAATCCATAAAATATATATAGTTAATTTCTTCAAAACATGATGTTTTACATTAGTTAAATCTCAAAATGGGGCAAATATTTTTTTCCTTGATTTTGTTTTTCGTGCTGAGCACCAATGCTACCGACGCCAGGAAGGCAGCTCCAACATCTGGTAGTTCGACGGAAAAAAAATAAAAAAAAAATATTTTCAATTACATATTACTATTACTGCATTACTACATTAAATTACACATTTTGCTCAAAACTTTGACATGCTACCTGAAAAGCTTGTTAATATACAATAACGCTTCATATGGAAGAGGATTTCCATACAAAATGATCAACTTTGACATGTGGCTATTCAGTGCTAGTAAATTTGCTACTTAATCAAAGTTTATGGAAATTATTAGTTCTACAATGTTGTGGAACAATTCAATATCGAAAACCGACATTCAAAAAAGTTAAAATTTCCTAGTGGCGTCCCAATGAGGATAAATTATAGACAACCCCTTTATCAGATGTTCTTTTTAGTTACTAAAATCATTTCTGAAGACACCAAATTAGTTAAACTTCTTGTGCTTGTTATATTTTTTCTGAAATTCACGCTTCTGGTACAGTGGGTGCCAGGTCTTAAGGAGCTTGTTTGATGTTAGAAAACGATGTAATGGAAATGGTGCAAAAATCCACTGTCAACCGGTTTCTCTTCGATCCAAGCATATCTTCTTAGCCTTCAGTATCGTTTCCAAAATAAGAAAAAGTATTATTTAGTCTAGTGGGAATGACACTGATGAAGACTGCACATTGTAGTCGAAATACGTATCTTGCATAAATACAAACTACTAAAGGGAATTAAATGTTCACATCGACTGATACTGAGTGGTTTGCGGTACAAGCACATATCGTCGATAATAGACGATTGTTGTGTATCAGAGAACGCTTGCGCAAAAAGACTAGGAAACTCAAATGTCATTAGCCAAATACATCCGTAGACCATAGGTCCACCGTTGTATAATTGGCAATGCACCCGTGTACTGAATGGGAATTGTGGGTTCGAATCCCACCGGTGCCCTTAGATTTTTTCGCAAATTTTCTCACACACACGTCTCTTACCGATGATATGTGCTTACCTCTCAGTATGTTCAAACTTTCCTATAAACAATTAAATTGACTGCAAAGTCGCTAAACCGTTAAATCATTAAATGGAAAACAATCACCTAATTTTTGCTCTTATTATCTAGTCGATAAACAATTTATTTATTTATTTATTTATGACTAAACATCAACAGGCGTCATTGGCCCCAATGATGTAACCTAAACTAAACATGAAAAGTACTAAAACTAAACATTAATTAGTCAATAGTCATCTCGTAAAAGCATCATTGCTAGACAAACTAAACTGATCTAGAAAAAAGAAGAACTAAACCTCCGGCGAAGCAGCTGGTGAGTCAGGTTAAAATCAAATAGTACGTGCTATGTCCCAAACCGGGGTAATTAGCTTTGGATATATAAGTAATAAATATGACTTGTTTGCTGTATACTCAAAGTTCAACTGACCAACGCAGACGTCTCAGATCTGCCTTTATTCAGATTTCCTGCTTCACCTAAACATCACTTAACGTTTCACTCTCTCTACGTTAAATATAAATCAAACTTCTCTCAGAGGGTTCCGACAATTTTACGGATCATAACAATCCTCCCTCCTTTAGAACCGACATTAATCCATTGATAAAAAAAACAAAACTAATCAAAATTCGAACTCATGACTTAGCATGAAATAGTACTTATAACTTAACTCGCCTCACAATTCAGAACAAAGCAATTCAGTCAAACGTCACTTTTCAAATTTCAAACAGGTTCTCAATCTTTTCAGAGCACTTTCATTAAGTTTTCAACATGAGATTTTCATCATTCTATCAATCCACAAATTTGAATTTAACATATTTCTTCTTATTCTCCTTGACACGAATTCCAGGACTCATTGACCATTCATCACTATATTCAATGCTACTGGACCTTCTGTTAGTATTCCGTTGCTGGCTCATCTTAACGATTCAACCTTGTAGAACTTCGTGTTGCGATGTGACTACGTCTCGCGTATCCTCTAGTCCCGAAATCAGTTTTTGGGGTCGCCATCGGTTCCTCCGGAAATCCGACAAACTCCTCGTCTGAATCCTCCAATTCTCTCTGTTGCTTCATTCGTTGTATTGGCACTTGAAACTTTGTATGGGTCAACCGGGGGCCAACAGTTCTCAGCTGATTTCGGTGAGCGGTGTAATTGTGCCTGCCAGAAGAGATTTCAAAAACATTTGTACATACTCTTTTGACATATTTAGCTTCGATCCATACTTAGCTAACTCACTCCGAATTACCATTTCTTCTACCTCTTTTAACGTCATGTCATCTCTCATCAACAGTTTATATTTCAATTCTTGATCCCTCAATCCGAAAACAATTTTATCCTTTATAGCCTCATCTTTATGCGCTCCGAATCCGCAATTACTTGCTAGCAATTTTAGAGCTAAGACATAATTTTCAGCAAGCTCATCAAGACCTTGCATACGTCCATTAAATTTATGCCTGTGCATCATATGTTGGGTTTCTTTTTTTCCCCTTTATTTAACGTCGGTCTCTGTTCCGCAATCTAGTGCCAATCACCGACGGACATCGATTGCCATCCATTGACGGCAACCGAATGTGCAGGAAGGCAGCTTCCGCACCTGCGTAGGATATCGCACCCATTCACAACACACATGGGCCGGGACCAACGGATTTACTTCCCTTCCGAAGGAAGACGTGACCAGAGATTTTTATGCCTCAGAAAAATCCCACCGACCTCGGCTAGAATTGAACCCAGACCCATTGGGGTGTTAGACAGCAGTCATGCTTACCACTACACCACCGGCGCCGGCTCATCATGTTGGATTGCACTTTGTCCAATCTTTCTTTTAGCTTACTAATCATATCATCATATGCAATATCTGATATTTCAAGCCCCGGATAAATCAATTCAATTTCCTCAAAAATAACCGGACCGCTCAGCGCGATAAAAAGGTTCTTTTTATTATTATCTGCAATATTGTTCAGCTGATATAAGATCTGCATCCGTTTCATGTAGCTGGTGAAGCTAGAACCACGGACATAATGGTCTACGCTCAAAATCAAAGCAGACATTTTAATTGAATCAGAATGTATCGAACGGCGATCACTCTACAACAGATCGAAATAGAAAAGAAAAAAAAAATGTGTAAAGTGACTTACTTGAGCTTTAATTCCTTACTCTGGTCTGCCGTTACCGTTATTCCAATTTGCAGCGATAAACACTCCTCTGGCGTTACTGTACTCAGCACACCGATCCGCCGATGCTATAAAACTTTCTCCACTCACTGGCGAGCTTTCGGGTTCTCTTTTCTGCCAGACGTTCGACAGTTTGGTCTCACTGCCGACGATGCTGCCTACTACCGGACTCTCTCAATCTCTCACTTTTTCTCCAAGTTCACCGTAACTGCTTAGCAACAAGCTTACCTTTACTATCGTAATCACTAATTTTGCTTAACTGTACGCCGAGCTTTTCTCACAGATTCTCGTTCTGACTTACGCAAAATTTCTTTGGAAATTATCGCTCACCAAACCCAATAAGATTGGTTGCTTCCTTCAATCTGCAACACTTTTTCGGTTTTACATTATATTATTATTATTTTTTTTCCGTGCTCACCAATTATGGATGTTCCTATTCGAATCTATCACAAAAACTGGTCACTCACTTCT